GATAGACACACACACACACACACAGAACATCACACACTCTGATAGACACACACACACACACGGAAACCCATCACACACTGATAGACACACACACACACGGAACCCATCACACACTCTGATAGACACACACACACACACACAGAACATCACACACTCTGATAGACACACACACACACACGGAAACCCATCACACACTGATAGACACACACACACACGGAACCCATCACACACTCTGATAGACACACACACACACACACAGAACATCACACACTCATGTCCTCATAAATCACCTTCTCGTTGTAATACCTATGTCATACCCATGTTATTATACAAATTTGTGTCCTGATAAACCACATAAACATGCACACACACACACTCACACACACGGAACACATCACACACTCTGATAGACACACACACACATATACACACAGAATTGCTGTCTGCAGTCATGTAAATATCCACTGTTCAGATTTTTACTTGTGAGGGAATATATATTGCCGTAAACCTAGCTTTAAAAAATTTAATGTATTTTCTATATTAAAATAATTTGTCATGAATTAAAGAGAAAATGGTATTTGGAATTATCTAACATTAAACTGAAAAATCATTCTGCATTGACTAAAATGCTTTGTCCAGACGGAGCTTCATGTGTGTTTCAGATTCAGCAAAGATCCATTGTGAAATGACTCAGTCTCACAAAGCAGTTACAGTCTCCTGGATATGTTCTGCTTTTTTTATGAATGCAGCATATGTGTGTGTGTGTGTGTGTGTGTGTGTGTGTGTGTGTGTGTGTTTCACGCTGCCCCGTGGCCTCGCCTCCATCTCAGCTCTGCTAAAAAACATGAGTCTGTGACCTCTGACCTTTGTCTGCTTGCACACTCACCATCAGGATGCTCAACACATAGTCCAACAGCGAGTTTCCAGCACTCACATCAATTCATCTCAAAAGACAGAGAAAGATAAAGTCACCCAAGTTCAGGAAAAAAGCAAAGATCACAGCGAAGGGATTGAGGGAAAAACTGATTTTAAAGTCACACTGCAGCAGCTCTGAAATGAAGCCTCTATTCATGCGTTTGACACTCGCATCACAGCTCTGTTTACTGGCTGAAGAATCACAGTTATTCTTTTCACAAACTTCCATTCAGCTCAGAGAACTTTAACTGGTCCTATTGATCCATATCATCTAGCAGAAGGTCAGAGGTGCTTAGGATCGCACAGACTCTGTGCTACGTTTTAGCCAGTCGTGTGCTTGGATTGCTATGGAAACACTGTTATTGGCATGAGCTTTTAGAGCTAAAACCCTAGACTTGTTTTCTTATAAGTGGTTCCCGAGTGAGAACAAAAGGCTTGACCAGAGATGTCTGCGCTCCACAATGAGCTCCGAGCATCTGATGCGTGCCTTTTGAAAATGCCCACCGTCTTTTGAGGAGGATCCATCTGGAAATCGTTTTGAGCAACACGTTTCACTTCGGTCCAAATGTGTCAGGTCTGCTATAATCGCTCACATTTATCGCTTTCAGGACGTGAAATTATTTTTCTTACTGAGTGTCTTCTTCTCTAAGGTTTTATTAAACAGACTGGGGGAAGAAAGCAGAGCGTTTCATTAGATTTCAGAATTCAGTCGAGCAGCACAAAACTCTGCGTTTCTGAAGGAGTCGACGAAGTTCATTGATCCTCTCAAATGTGAATCCTGAATTATCATGTGACGCGAGGAAGTGCAAATCGTTACACGTCACGTACAGCTGTTCAATGGAAAATGAGCTATATATTATCCTCACAGAAACTTAACAGGCCACATCCCTGTTAAATATAATATGGCACATTTGTAAAGTCACCTTTATTTCTAAAGCGCTTAAATGCAGATTGTGTCAAAGCAGTTTTACAGTGTCAAACATAAAATAGTTGGTCAATAATGCAAGAGGACAATAACAAAAAGTCATTTTTCCTGTTAAAGTCAATTCATTGGTGATTCTCGCTTGTCTCGTGGTTTGTATAGAAACTTTTACACTGTTACAGAAAAGGTTTTTAATTAGAAACGTGATCCGCCTCTGAAACATCCTTTCTGTTTAGACCTTAAAGAACACTAAACAATCATTATTGACGGAGAAACAATGATGAATTGATTTTAATATTATTAGTCATTATTTCATTAGTGTCATATACAGTTCAAATTTATGCTTTACACACACACACACACACATACACACACACACACACAGAGCGGTGCAACTGAGAATATTGCCTGTTATTTTCTCCTGCAGTGTCTAATTCAAGGACGGTGGGAAGAAGTTCTCAAGGTCAGCAAGAGAGTGAGTGTGTGTCCCAAACAAGCTAATCAGAGCGGCGTCCCCTCAGAGGAAACTGACACACACACACAAACACACACACACACACACACACACACACACAAACACACACACGGCCTCCAGAGATTCTGCTGCTCTTTTTGCCCACACTGCATCTACTGCAAACGAATCAGGTGAGAGTTGTGCGGGAAGACGGGCCCCAGGACCGTGTGTGTGTGTGTGTGTGAGACGCTGCAGCCGGACTCGCGCACATCCGTCAGACTACGGCTCATGTCGGACGCCGCTGATCTTGTGGTCATCATTTATTCATGCGGAGCGCGGCTGAGCGGTCGCTGTTGCTCACTGCTGAAACCCGTGGCTCAACATTCAACATCTTTACTCAAATTGTGCCTGATCTGCCCGTTTAATAATGCATCGCTTGGTTTTTTGTTATGTTAAAAAGCTGCTTTTTGCTCTGTTTGCAGGATTGTAATGCCGTGTGACATTCGCTCCCTGCAGTCCCACCTGTGGCCCGGAGACAGGAACACCGCTCCAGTGACTGACAAGGACAAAAAGAGGTGTGATCCCATTTATGTTTCTGAATCGTCAACCGCAGCAATGGAAGACGGGAATGACAGCTGGGACTGTAACTTTGAGCATGAGAGGTAAGGACTTCAACGAGACGATCGTGATCACAATCCAGGAACGCGATCAAGGCGAGAAAATCTTGTGCTGAGGATTTTAATTATTTATCAGGACACTGTGTTCCGTTCCAACGAAGAGAGTGTTAAAGCACCAAACTCTAATTTCTATACACACGTTACCTTCTTGCCTTTAGCTTTCATAGTTCAAAGGTGCAAATGTCGTACAGCCCGGGTTCGCCGTTTACCGGCGATTCAGAACTTCAACTACTCAAAAGAAAACATCAGAAACAAACCAGATTATCAGACTGCTTAGACTGAAATATATTTATTATTAATTCTGCATCACTGAATCGCTTTCAGTTTTACTGGTCAATAATTGTTTGCAGATGCCATAAAAATAAAACAGAAAAAAAAATAATTCTTTGAGACTTTTTTTAAAATTAAATACCATTTATTTTGTTGTTTATTTTGTTTGTTCACTCTGAAAATTAGTGAACAGACTGTCCATCACACACAAGTGTTATTCTATACTCACGCTTTATTCAGTACTCTCTGTATTCTGTTCTCACTCTTTATTCAGTACTCTCATTATTCTATATTCAAGCTTTATTCAGTACTCTCTTTATTCAGTACTCTCATTATTCTGTACTCACTCTTTATTCAGTACTCTTTTCATTCTGTACTTATGCTTTATTCAGTACTTATGTTATTCTGTACTCACGCTTTATTCAGTACTTATGTTATTCTGTACTCACGCTTTATTCAGTACTTATGTTATTCTGTACTCACGCTTTATTCAGTACTTATGTTATTCTGTACTCACTCTTTATTCAGTACTCTCTGTATTCTGTTCTCACTCTTTATTCAGTACTCTCATTATTCTATACTCACGCTTTATTCAGTACTCTTGTCATTCTGTACTCACTCTTTATTCAGTACTCTCTGTATTCTGTTCTCACTCTTTATTCAGTACTCTCATTATTCTATATTCAATCTTTATTCAGTACTGTCTTTATTCAGTACTCTCATTATTCTGTACTCACTCTTTATTCAGTACTCTTGTCATTCTGTTGTACTCATGCTTTATTCAGTACATATGTTATTCTGTACTCACTCTTTATTCAGTACTCTCGTTATTCTATACTCACACTTTATTCAGTACTCTCTTTATTCAGTACTCTCATTATTCTATACTCACGCTTTATTCAGTACTCTTGTCATTCTGTACTCACTCTTTATTCAGTTCTCTCTGTATTCTGTTCTCACTCTTTATTCAGTACTCTCATTATTCTATATTCAAGCTTTATTCAGTACTCTCTTTATTCAGTACTCTCATTATTCTGTACTCACTCTTTATTCAGTACTCTAATTATTCTGAACTCGCACTTTATTCAGTACTCTCGTTATTCTGTACTCACACTTTTTTCAGTACTCTTGTCATTCTGTACTCACTCTTTATTCAGTACTCTCGTTATTCTGAACTCGCACTTTATTCAGTACTCTCGTTATTCTGTACTCACACTTTATTCAGTACTCTTGTCATTCTGTACTCACTCTTTATTCAGTACTCTCGTTATTCTGAACTTGCACTTTATTCAGTACTCTCGTTATTCTATACTCACGCTTTATTCAGTACTCTTGTCATTCTGTACTCACTCTTTATTCAGTACTCTCGTTATTCTATACTCACGCTTTATTCAGTACTCTTGTCATTCTGTACTCACTCTTTATTCAGTACTCTCGTTATTCTATACTCACGCTTTATTCAGTACTTAAGTTATTCTGTACTCACGCTTCCTTCATTTCAAGGTAGCACTCCAGAACAATGAATCTACTCAATAGTGTAAAGTTCACTTCAAGAGTCAACAAAGTGGCATCAATTAATTAGAATTTAGGTGTTTGGAAAAATGCATATTTTTATTTATTGTTATAATTATTATTTCATACTAAATTCAAGCCAGAAAAAAAATGTAACTGAAAACAGAATAGACTATTTTCAGGTGTTCATATACACTTACAGAAAACTGTGTGTTCACACTTTAAAGATGTTTCCAATTTGCGAGGTTCTTTAATCAAACGTAAACCACCAGTATTGGCTAGTGAGTTGATATGTGTTACTCGCCATAGTAGATTTTCATTTCTAAACCTGCTTACAGCTGTGAAATATATTACTGCTGGAGTGATGAGGTTCAGCTTGATGAGCTTATGATGAGCTGTCTGAGCAGTTTTAATGAGAGTTGATTAAGTCATGTATGTTAACAGCTGAGCGATGACGTGTCTACGCTTTAGTTTGTGTCGAGGCCCAAAAGGACACTGTTCAACATCTGAAATCAACAGACAGGGACAGACGTCAGGTCCACATATACAGAGCATGAAGCATTAGCTGTTCATCACCATACACATGAGAGAGGAAAACATGAGTAACAACAAGCATTTCACTAGATATACCTGATGATGAGAGCAGAACATTTCCATTTTTCCCCATAGCTCTTCTCTTATACACACGTAAAGATGAAAGGTGTAAAGGTCAGATTAAGGTTGTCTGGCTACATGATCGGTCTCAGATGATGATGGTGTTACAGTGAGGATGATGATGGCCAGAGCAGCGGCTCTATTCAAATGCACAAGCCCCCGGTGCAGGAAAATAAGCACCTGTCATGCGCCAAGCCAAGTGTTAAGTGCAGAAATTGTGGAGTCCAGCCGCTGTTTCCGCAGGCGGGCGTTTGGGTGGCAGTGTGGCGGGAGCTGAGGGGCATCATGGCAACTGTTATTTACTGGTCGTCTGCCTCATTTCCCACAATTCAGTCTGGCTGCGTTACACACACTGAGGGGCTGAAATCACTCCGTGTCAAGGCTGCAGGGAAAAAAAGACGACAAACATTTAGATCATTTATTCAGACTGTGTGGCGTCGTCCTCTGGCTGTGATCATGCCGTTCCCTCTGGTGCGGCTCCGACACTGGGATTTACAGCAGCGTAAAACTAACTTCACATGAAGGCACAAACACACGCACAGGCCCGCTGCATTACCTTTTTTTATAAATATGTAAAGTCTCTGAGAAGATGATACACTTCACTCATATAATAAACTTAAAATCACCTCTTCTTAGTAATCTAGCACAAACAGCAGCAAAAATGAAACAGATGAGCATTTACTGATTTTGACAAGCACTAAAAACACAATAAATGTATGAATAAACTGCCAATGCAAAGTTCATATATATTCATTTGGATTCATATAATGTGTCAGATTCATTTATCAATTTATTTTCTTGCCTTTTGTTCTAATCATAGTCATTTATAATTGGGTCTTCATCGCCACCTAGTGGAGAACTGAGGAATCACAGTTACAGTATCAGGACTGGTGGGGCTGTCTTTACAAACTGCTCTATAAACTAATGTCCTTAAAACTAAAAAACTAAAATCCATGAATCAATCAGTCTGTGAGTGGAGGCCACCTGCTGGTTCCCATATCCACAGACTGTCTCCTGCGCTCATACTGCCGTCTGTTTGCATCACATCGATTCCCCACCAGTGTGAGAAAAGCACTATATATATAGGTTGCAGGGGCGGATTTAGTGAATTGGGGGCCCCAGGCAAAATATAGGAATGGGGCCCTATACATTTGCAGACGTTTTCCTAGATCAACCTTGAGGTTCCTTTTTTGTTGTGACGCTTGCTGCTGCACAATGGTGCCCCATAGTTGTGTCCAATGTTTATACATTTTTCATGTACATGTTATAAAGGCTTTCTTTCATGTTCTAGACCACAAAATAGCAACTGATTTACAGTTGAGATACAGGTTTTCACAAAAAAAAAAATTATAAAATGATAAACCTCACAATTTAGCATTTAAACCAGGGGTGAGTCAGAAGTATAAATTATGATATTAATTTAAAACGGGGTTATGTGGGTGGATTTTCGCATTGGTCTGAACAAAAACTACAGACTGGATTTTTGAAAATGAACATTGATTCTCTGTCAGCAGGAGGCGGTTTTGGAACATCAGAAATATAGCGGTTTCCTACGGTGGCCGAGGCTGGTTCCATTCAGAGATTCATTCATATAAAACCTTGAATTAGTGAGAATGAGAAAAGTGTGAAAAAATATAGTCTATACTGACGAGGAAAGTCCACTGATGAATTACCATCATAAGCCTGTGTGCAAAGGCTGTCTAATTCTAAACTTTAAAATACATTTATTTTTAGTTATTTTAACTACAAATTAAAATAAAACTGAAAAAATAATGAAAAGGCAATTATACATTTACACACCTAAGGATTATATCAACCAAAAAAGTAACTGCATATGTGTCCTCTACTTGGTTCCTTCTTATAAATGAGTAAGCAGTGAATAATACACACTGTTTCTCAATATTGGATATGACAGCTACAGATGCATGATATTTTCATCTCCTTCAAGCAGAATACACAAGAAGCACGTTCAACTCGGACGGTTGTCGTGGTAATAAACACCGTAAACAGCAACCGTTCGCGTGTCAGCGCTTAATGCACATCTCATATATGAAAAGCATTTTAGGGGGCCCTTGGCTTTTGGGGGCCCAAGGCGGTCGCCTACCTTTGCCTAATGGGTAAGTCCGCCCCTGATAGGTTACACTTTATTTTAAGGTGTTCTTGTTACAGTGTAATTATACATTTAAATACTGAGTTATATTAATTAACTGCATGTACTTACTATATTAGGGTTAGGATTAGGGTTTGGCTTAGGGTTACTTGCATGTCATTTATTGTTATTATAATAGTAAGTACATGTAACGTGTAACAATAACACCTTAAAATAAAGTGTTACCAAAAAATATATATTGACGCTCTACATTTGAATCATTAAATCAAAGTAGTTGCTGTTTGTGTGAAATGACTGAAATAAACTCACTGAACCCATGAAGAAGTCTGTGAGCAGTTAGTTAGAAGCTCCAGAGGATCCTGTTACTCTGGCCGGAGTGAAAAATTATGAAAAGAAACGCTTCTGTAAAAGTCTTCGATGTGATCAGAAGGTGTTGATGAAGAAGCCAGAAGAAGACTTCATCACAAGATGAAGTGTGTGTCCGTGAGACGCTTCTGCCCCCTGCAGGAGAACAGCACTGTTATCAGCAGATCCATCACTGACTGCCAGAGAGCATCGGCTGTTACTGATCTGAGGTCAGAGACATCAACTCCTGCTGTAAGTTTGATTTAATACAGTGGTACTGATGAATGTTCATGTTAAATAAGACAAATATTGTTGAAAATTCTCATATGGCAACAACTAAAGCAATAATTCACTGTAAAGAATGAAAGTTAAACTGCTGATGCAGTCTGTCAGAGAAATTAAAAATAACACATTGTTCACTAAGACTTCATTTGGCTGAACATTTTTTTTTTTTTTTTTTACTAATTAAGGAATCGGGTAAAGGTAGACAGTGATCGCCTGTTGGTGTCTCTTTTAAACATTTAAAACTGTTAGTCTTACAAAGCTTTAGGAGGATGGTCTGTCAGGAGCGGATGAGAATCACTAAAGCTTCAAAATTCAGATATGATCGAACCTTAATATGGGATTTGAGTGAAAATATTCTCTTGATTATGATGCTTTTTTGGTGGCGGTTCTGTATCTGTACAATCCTAAAGACTGTGACTGATTTGCTCTTTACATTCTTTTTGTTGCTTTTGTAAACCATTTCTACACACGAACAGTTCAATCTCTATGTGAAATGAGTTTGATCTGAAATAAGCCTCTTTTTCTCCTTTTTTTTTTTTTGCCAGGTAATTCTCTGGTTTTGACATTTGGAGCGTAAGCAGACACGCGTTGAACGCGGTGGAAAGTGTAATCTGGGTAATGGGCAAAAGTCTAGTTAATTGCTGACTGTATTGTGCTTAAACTGTTTATGATATTTCAGAGGTAAAAGAGCACTGCTGAGGGTGTGCTATAGCTGTCATCAATCCATTAAGTTTACCCAGTGTCAGATTATGATTGTAAACTCACTATCAGTCAGTCGCTCTGCTGTGACATCCAGGAAATGTCAGTCTTTTGGAAACTGTGTGTTTGGAGAATATGTGTTTAGTAGGAATGATCTCAAATGCTAAATAATCTTTTTCCTGAACTTTTGATTTGAAGGCCATGAATAGTCTTTATTAGAGCTTTGGAAATATTGTTGCACTCAGATGCTGAAGTCATGTTTGTTATCTGATGATTTGTGCTTAAATCTGAGTGTTTTGCATATCCTCCGTCTGTGGACCGGCTTTCATGCGCTGCAACACAGACGAGCAGAACAGACAATGACAGGAGGCCACAGCTGTGTCAAAAGTTTACATACACCTTGCAGAATCTGCAAAATAAGATATTTTACAAAAACAACGTTTACATATAGTCCACAAGACAAAATAATAGCTGAATTGATAAAAATGAACCTGTTCATAAGTTTACATAGGCTTAATTTGTTTAATACTGTCGTTACCTAGATGATCCCCGACGTTTGTTTGCGATGGTTGTTTATGGGTTCCTTGTTTGTCCTGTTGCTGTTCTTCAGGAAAATCCTCCAGGTCCTGCAAATTCTTTGGTTTTCAACATCTTTTGCAAAGTTAAACCCTTTCCAGCAGTCACTGTATGATTCCCTGTTGAAAAAAACAGCATATCCTGGTTGCAAAGGACCAGCTTAAACCAGCATCCCAGCGTCAAAACATACCTAACCAGCATATGCTGGTTTTTTCAACAGGGTTCTGAGATCTATCTTTTCACACTGAGGACAACCGAGGGACTCGGTTGAAAAGCGGTTGAAAAGCTTCAAACATTCACTGATGCTCCAGAAGGAAACAAAATGCATTAAGAGGTGGGCTATATGTATTTATATTAACTTTTGCAGATTCAAGGTGCATGTAAACCTTTGACCACAACTGTATGTCCTAAGTGTTACTGAATTCACAGTGAAGTGAAATCATTTGTTTCTACAGCACATTCGCTCCCATCAAAAGCATTGTTGTTGAGTGTTGTGCTTGTTAATTTGCGGGTTTGTTCACTCAGTATAAAGCACATGCACACATACACACAAACTCTCAATCTGTTGCTTTGGCCTTCAGTGATTCTCTACAGAGGCTGTGCACAGCAGCCTCCGTTTCTCTTGATGAGCACCCTTTTTATTTTAACATTATTAGATGCAAATGTCCTGTTGGAAGAATATTTTAGGAGCCTGTCAGAATGAAACTGTTGGCTTAAATATTGTTAATTGAAGGACATATTTATTGCATTTCTGTTTCTAATTGTTTTTCTTTCCCCTTTAAAAATAAACTCATGCTGAATTGAAACACGTGCTGTGTGTGTTTGTCTGCAACAAAATGACAGAATAAAAGCAGGAAATAAAACGTGCCCTAAACATTACACGACGAAGGGATCGGGCTGTAGTGTTAAGGAGGAAGAAGACGAGGGAAGAGGTGTTTCTCCAGGCCCTTTCTCCTCTTTCATTATTTATTTCCTTATTAACTGCGATCAAAACATTGATGGTCGATCGTCCGCCGCTGAGCTCGAGACCCGCGGAATATCGTGCAGTCTTTCTTTCACGTCTGTGAGTGTGTGTCGCGATGGCTCGCCCACGGCCCCGGGAATATAAAGCTGGAGACCTGGTTTTCGCCAAGATGAAGGGATACCCGCACTGGCCGGCGAGGGTGAGTACGAGCAGCAGCCGAGCGGAGCGGCGCGGAGGCCGGTTACCGGAGCGCGGAGCGGCCGCTGCACACACGAGAAAACACGGGCCGAACCCGGGGGAGAGCGAGCATAATGCACCGTGTTTTTCATCGTGTTTTTGTGCGTACTGTCAAAATGATCCGCTCTCTTCTCGTCGTTCGGGGCTCTGCGTTATTTTAGACGTTTATGAAGTGTTTGACTCTCGGGACGGGTCCGGTTCGGAGGTGTGTTGGGTCTGTTGGTGTGTGTTTGTGCCGCTGATGCAGCTGTTCCTCATCTGGGCCGTAAAGCGACGGTTTGGCCCGCGCGGGACCGGAACCGAACCGGTGCATTCAGAACCGAACTCCTCCGAACTCGAACCCGCGGCAGTGCGGAGCGAACCGGTGCGTGTGCGTGTGTGAGATGATCTGGGCCCAGAACAGCGTTTTAGCTTCATTTCGAAAGCAACCCACCATGTTCTCAGATCAGTCTCTGATAGTTCGGGACACCGTGAGATCCGTTCTGACGATTTGTGCTACCCGCTCAGATTGTGCTACCTCCCATTAAACAGATAGGTAGCGCAAATCGATAGCAAAAAAAATGCTACCCATCAGGTTGTGCTACCAGCATCTTGTGGTTTGAGGCTTTTTTTAATGTCCAGAACTAACCCTACCCTAAACCTACCCAGCCATACCTACCCTTACCATAAACGTTTTATTGCTTAAAACAATGCAAATATATTTTTGGTACAATCTGATAGGTAGCATGTTTCATCGGTACACCGGATCCACAAAGTGCTTTGAGTCTCACAGAGACGCATTGTTAAAGACAACAAGCGTGTAAAGCGCCCATAATGTGACATGAGGTAAAATGCATAAGTTTAACTGGACGAGAGCCAATCTGTAGAATTATGGATGAAAACCCGTGTAAAACTGGCATTCAGAATAATGTTCCTGTTCAGAGTTTAACTGTTTCCTCCTAATCGTTTAGATCGACGAGCTGCCGGAGGGAGCAGTGAAGCCGCCAGCTAACAAATACCCCATCTTCTTCTTTGGTACCCATGAGACGTAAGTCTGGAGTGTGTTTGTGATTCAGTGATATGTATAAAGCAGCAGTAATCAGCGTGTGTCTCCACAGTGCCTTCCTGGGCCCTAAAGACCTGCTGCCCTACAAGGAATACAAAGACAAGTTTGGCAAGTCGAACAAGAGGAAAGGGTTTAATGAAGGCCTGTGGGAGATCGAAAACAACCCTGGTGTCAAATTCACTGGTTTCCAGGTGAGTAGAGCAGCGGTGTGAGCCCGTCTGACCGCACCTGTGTCCATCTGACCCACACCTGTTTGTCTGACCCACACCTTTGTCCGTCTGACCCACACCTGTGTCCGTCTGACCGCACCTGTGTCCGTCTGACCGCACCTGTGTCCGTTTGACCCACAACTGTGTCCGTCTGACCCACACCTGTGCCGTCTGACCGCACCTGTGTCTGTCTGACCGCACCTGTGTCTGTCTGACCACACCTGTGTCCTTGTGACCCACACCTGTGCTTCAGGTGATGCAGCAGCAGAGCTCGTCTGAGACTGAGGGAGAAGGAGGGAACGCGGCCGATGCCAGCAGCGAGGAGGAGGAGGGCAAGATGAAGAGCGACAAGGTCGGATCCAAGCGGAAAAAAAGCGCATTCTCAAAGGTACCTGAGCGGCTTTTGAACTAGGGGTTGACCGATATGTGCTTTTCAGGGCTGGTACCAATTATTACAGATCAAGTAGACTGATAACCGATATTTTGGACTGATATATAGCTCTGGTGTGAAAATGAAAATTCATGTCAAAATTAAGGGAAACAAGGGCTCTGACAAAAACTGCCTTCCCTGGTGTTGGTTGAGTGTAGTACTCCCACACTGCACTTCTTACTCTTGTCTTCCTCTGTGCATCCATCTACAATAAGGGTAATATAAAGAGAGAGTTAAAAGTGGGGCCACTGTATGCTTCATGATTAAGCCTATGAATACTGTACTACAGCTAAACAGCTTGGGGAAATGTAAGTATCTGGCTTCAATAATTTCCAAGTTAGAAATATATGTGTAATAGCATAACCTCTCATAATTCTTCATGAATTATTTTCTGATGACCAAAACATAACCTACAATAGTAGAGGTGACTATTCAATTCATCATCTAATGCAAATCAATGGATTAACTTTAAAAAATCACAATGTAATAAGTGTAAATAATTTAATTGTCTTCATAGCTCCATTGTAGAAGTTGTTAAGAAGACCGCAACTATCTTCCTGAAACTATCACACTAATAGCCTATTATAGACACACTTAGTACAATAGCCTTTTAAAATGTCTCAATT